CAAATAGTTCTGGCGTGCTCCCTTGTTTTAATTACAAAATTATCAATTTCCCAACATATATATGTTAGGAAAATATGTTAGGTATGTTATTATGCGTAATATAAGCTTCAATTTAAGGTAAAATTCAACCACAAACGCTTCGCAAAACGTTTTAAAGTGTTCTTTATAAAACTAAACTGCCTTTAATTAAATGGCTTTATCGATAAACTTTGAGTTTGCAATAATAAAATATTTCAAATTCTCGCATGCAAATAACTTTGCTATCTTATTTTATTTAAAAAAATTCAATATAATAAAAAAGGGAATCAATATTAAAGATACACTGAAATTATCCCCGAGCTGACGGCGCGAAGCGCCGTGCGAGGGTACTAATTCCCCCCGGCTATTTACACCCGGGGGAAACGAAAGCATTAGCGAAGTCTAAAGTTCATCAATTATCGCGGGCGTGGGTCACCACTGATGTTGGGGTGTTAGGTGGGTGGTCATCCTCCCTGATCTCAAAAATATGGCGGACTGTCATGAATAGCGGACACTGATTGGTCCAATTTAAAGTTTGCATTATAACGACTGCATGACGACAGCGAAATAGCAAACATTTCTTGATTTGATCTGTGATTTGATCATTAATAAATTTCTACAAACATATTTCATTTTTGCTCGCATTTTTGCAAGATTTTGTAAATTTCAACAGCTTTATCAGAAAGAAACTGCGAAAGAATCGGCTAAAAGAAGGGGCCAACGTTTACGAAGGTAAGTTTGTTTTAAAGGTGATGTAAAGTCCATATGGTAAACAAACGCTTTGTTTACATTTTGAACTCAGTACTACAGTTGTAAAATATGATTAGATATATATTATACTGAATTTTTAACACTCTTCCGGTTCGCTATGCTTGTAAATGAGTGCAGACTAGAGATTCAATTCAAGAAAGTTCGGAAGGTGCGAAATATTAACAACATTCCAAAGGTTGCTCCCTCACTGATGGAATATGTTGATGCGCAGAATATATGCGCAGAACGGACTTTACAGCATCTTTAAATATTGATTTTATAACGGCTTTAAAACCCGATGGCCTTTGGCTTTGCGTATATGAAACAACTAAACAAGTCAGCATATAATTTCAGTGTATATTTAATATTGATTCCCTTTTTTATGATATTGAATTTTTTAAATAAAAAAGAAAGCAAAGTTATTTGCAAGCGAGAATTTGAAATCGTTTTATTGCAAACTCAAAGTTTATCGATAAAGCCATTTTAAAAGGCAGTTTAGTTTTATAAAGAACACTAGTGACTTTAAAACGTTTTGCGAAGCGTTTGTGGTTGAATTTTACCTTAAATTGAGGCTTAATTACGTATAATAACATACCTAACATATATATGTTGGGAAATTAAGAATTTTGTAATTAAAAGTGATATTTTTAGGCGACTTTTCATTTGTAAGAATATTCTTAAAAAATTATCGTGCTACCATGACAATTACTTTAGATACTTCATGTTCGGAAAATACAATGGTTTTGTCAGCAAGGCGAGGGTTTCTGCATGCATGTATTTTCTAGTATGCTGTCTTGTTTAGTTGTTTCATATACGCAAAAGCCGTCGAGTTTTAAAGCAATTATAAAATCAATATCTAAAACAAACTTACCTTCGTTAACGTCGGCTCCCTTCTTTTAGCCGATTCTTTCGCCCTTTCTTTCTGAGAAAGCTTTTGAAATTTACAAAATCGAGCAAAAATGAAATATATTTGCAAGAAATTTATCAATCATCAAATCAAGAAATGTTTGCTATTTCGCTGTCGTCATGCATGCTGTCGTTATAATGCAAACTTTAAATTGCACCAATCAGTGTCCGCTATTCATGACAGTCCGCCATATTTTTGAAATCAGTGAGGGTGAGGATGACCACCCACCCAACACCGCCAACACCGTTGGTGACCCACGCCCGCGTTCATTGATGAACTTTAGACTTCGCTAATGCTTTCGTTTCCCCGGGTGTAAATAGCCAGGGGGAATTAGTACCCTCGCACGGCGCTTCGCGCCGTCGGCTCGGGGAAAACGTTTTACGCAGCGTTTTATGATGAATTTTACATTATAATAAATCCCATAGAAAGCAAAATAACATACCTACTCTCCATTCATTTATTTTTGCCGTTTAGAACAAAAAATTAAGAAAACAATTATCGAAGATTCGAATTTATCGTGTTGCCAATGCCATGGCTAACATGACGCGAGCCTGCGTTCCGTAACTTCCGTGTTGGCGTTATTGAAGTACTTCATGGTTAAACAATGTTTGGAAAATGTGGGCGAGGGGTTGTTGCATCAAATGCATGCATGTATTTCTGGTAGATATAGAATGCGAACTTCAGTGATCATAGCCTGCGTGCAGGCCCAAGGGAACTGATAGTGGGCCTGCAACCATCGCCCGGTATTTTGTAAAACGCCCCTTTTCATAACACGCCCCATTCACGCGTCAATTGTCAAAAAAGAACCAATGACCCAAATATTAACAAACAAACTCGCATTAAAATTTGCGGGGTTTTCTCTGCTTATTCAGAACACTAATAAACAATGTGTAAATGGCTGCGTTTTAACTCCAAAAAAGCAAGCAACGCAGTCAGTAATTGCCAAATTTGCAAGTGCTCATTTTCAGCTAAAATCGGAACAGGCAAATTAGGACGAATTTCAACAGAAAACCAGTCTCAAACTTCAAATCATGAGGGAAGTCGGGCGACCACATTAGGATTTATATTATGTGTGCTTCGCTGTCGCCATTGGCATTGTTATAAATAAATTGTCTCACTTATCAGATCGTGTGTGCAATTCTTGTTGGCGGCGGAAAGTACGAAATTTATTTCAGTTATTTCATTTGGTAAAGAACTCTACAAAAGAAGAGAGCGTTCAGAGTCCAGATCGTTTCGTTTCAAACGGCAATTACCTTCTTCTGTTTCGCTCTCTCAGCGAAGTTTTGCAAGTCGCAAAGTGTTTCGAATAGGCTTACATGCAACTGCCTCTAAATCTTCACCGCGAAAAGCGCTGTTTTCTTCAGTGCAAGAACAGAGTCAACATCAACCAAAAGATAGTTTTCTTGAGGAACATATAACGTATCAAGTCTGTTTGAAATTAATGAAACTCAAGTAAAGGTTACTATAGTTTACCCCGGCTGTCGTAATGTTGCTATTCCAACACTTCACGACAAGCAATCCCCATTGGCATAACGGCAAAAACATCTCTTCCTTCAAGTAAACAATAAACATTCTGTTCTTGTTCCATTTATAATCGAAAAAAGTGATCAATTTTCGAATTTTAAGCTTATCGAGAGCCTTTGTGATGAATCACTGATCTAATTATAGAATCCAACTGCAAACAGCCATTGGCTGTCAGCCAAGCAGAATGCCGCGTTCGTGGGCGAACGCGGAAAGTAAAAAATACCGGGCCTTGCTTGCAGGCCCACTATTCTTCCCTTGGGCCTGCACGCGGGCTAATTTGCATCCGATCTTTATCTCTCTTTGATAAACGCTCCGGAATACACTGAAAGCGCGAACGAGTATTGTATTTTCATTGGCAGCAGCTATATGTAAGATCGATCTCTCGTATTGATCTCTTGCAGATAACCATGCGCCGCTAAGTGCTGAAATACGTTCGACAAGACAGCGATCGCTTGCAACACGGTTAATAGACCTAAATGGTTATGCTAGCTGGGTCACGTGACAAATATGTTATTATTTATTGTTTATAAGTGTCACGTGATGGGAACTGTTCATCACTCAACACGTCGATATTTATAGCTATATACAGCGACACAAATCGGCTCTACAATCTCTTCGAGAAAATTACTCTGTTCTGGCGCTGTTTGAATTATATATTGAAATTTAAGTTTTAAATACATGCCTGGGCGTAATTGCGCCTTTTTTGGCTGTCCAACAAGCCAAGATTTCATTGTTCAAATACCGGCTACTCGCGACGACGACAGCGAACATACTGTTGCATTGAAGACAAAAGCAAGAGAAGAATAGCTTCGACTAATATTGCGAACAAGGGATATAACGGCAGAGTTAATGAAACTTATCGAGGCGAGCAATCTCTATGTCTGCGAGCTCCATTTCAAGCCAGATTGCATTTTAACAAATAAGTTTGAGTTGATATTTGCGCTTGATATTCAAATGCAACATGGCACAATGACTACATGACGTCGTAGAATAAAAAGCTCTTTATACGAATATTAATAAGTGTTAAACATTAATAAGTGGCAGCGTTCCGACCGAAAATTTTTCAATTAGATTAGATTTATTAAAAATACTTGAATGGCAGTTCAAAATCGAACTGAAAAACACAAGTTTACATAGTTTAAAAATAGTAGAACAAAATACGTATATACAGATTATAGATACGCTGGTAATACTAATTACAATAACGGAGGATTGCTAATTTACAAATTGAATATATATTAATCTATAGAAGCCTAAAAGGTTAAAAAGAGTTCCATTTGCGTACGAAATATGGCAAAAGACTATCATTATAGCGTTTAGTTCGGGTTTTAAAGAGTGAGAGGTAATATATTAAAAATTTTGCTCGAAGTGTCACTATAATTGTTTTTGTAAAAAGATCTGCATAACAATTCCCTTAGTCTCCTCGAGAGTGGGCAACTTTAGGTCTTTGAGGCTTTCGGAGTAGGACAAGGGGGGAACAATAATTTTGAGCGCACGTCTCTGAATGTGCTCTAATTCATCAGTCAGGAACTTTGGTACGAGGTATGCCAGACTGGACACGCATATTCCAAGACAGGTCTAATAAAACTACAGTATACTGTCCTAAGATCACTCGGTTGGACACCATTTCTTCTTAACATCCTTAAAGCGTACAGACGTTTGCTTGCTTTGGACGATATGTGCCTGATGTGTGTAGTCCACTTAAGATCGGAGGTCAAATTTACCCCCAGGAGCTTGATGGTATTAACAGCCTCCAGGGGTTGGTTATTGACAATCAAGGGTTGCGCCAAGGGTTGATTGATCAAAAATGACCGGGTGAAATCTTTAGCTTTTTAACGTTCAACTTCATGTTGTTCGCACTTGACCACTGGGTCACGTTGTCAAGTTCTTGCTGTAATTTTGGTAGATCCGGTTCACATACTCTAACGACTTCCGAGATGGCACAATCGTCAACATACTTGTACAAAGGCAATTCACTGGACAGATCATTGACCATTATAAGAAAGAACGGAGGACCAAGTTTGGTACCTTGCGGAACTCCAGCTTTTATTTCTTTCCACTCAGACTTACAAGTTTTTAATTTGACGTGCTGCTGTCTGCCTTGAACAAAACTTGAACACCAGTTAAATAGGACCTGTGGAACATTGAGAAGCTGTAACTTGCGCATCAGAATGTTATGATCAATTAGATCAAACGCTTTGGAAAAATCGATGAAACAGGTTCGGATAATGGTGTTAGGCGTTTCCAGGGCAGAGAGCCAGTAGTGGACTAAATGCACGAGGGCGCGAGTGGTTGAAGACTTTTTCACACTACCAAACTGAAAAGGATCGATGTATGGCATAACAATAGGTGCAAGCCAGTTGAAAACTAAAGACTCAATAATTTTGCTCAACATTGCAGTTAGAGATATAGGTCTAAGGTCCGTATCAATAGACTTCGGTCTAGAGATCTTCCCCAACGGGCGGACATCCGCACATTTCCACAGCCCGGGGACACGACCTTCTCTAATAGAAGAGTTAAACATGGAACACACAGGGATGCTAATAGTTGTGGCGCAGGTTTTCAAGAGCCAATTGGGAATCTCGTCATGTCCTACAGACTTGCGATCTTGGACCGCCACCAAAGCATGTTCTACGGCATCACAGGTAATAATGTACTCATCAGGAATGTTGGAAACAGGTATGAGAGTAAAGTTTAGTTGTGGTATGTCAGCAGCAACACTGCAAACGGATTTGTTAATAGCGACAGCAAGATCCAAGTCATTCAAAACAATGCCATTTACGGCTAAGCTTGTTAACAGGGGAGGATTAGAAAGTCCAGACAACAGCTTGATTCCGTCCCACAACTTTTTAGGATTACTCTCATGCATGTGATTAATTTTGCCGAAGAGAACCCATAAGAAATACGAACCTTTCTCATGGCTGAAGATAAACCATCTACTGCTTCGTCATTGTCGTTGATTGATATTGTCCAAGGTCATGATGTGCTAGAACAGCTAGGTGAAGAATCCTTAGCCCTATGGGAATCTGAAAAGATGGAAAACGGTGACATGGAATTTAAGTTGTGTGATGGTGTTCACAGCATTGCCAATTAGACTGAGAGAAAGCGTTCAATTGGAGGTGAGGGGTTAAGGAATTTCTGTCGTTAGTTGAGAACTCCAGCTTGTGTGATGGATTGGTTGAAGAACCAAAATGACCAAATCTGATTCTGACCAAATTTGTGACCCTAACCCAACCTCGGACATCACCCATCAACTTCCAGGGACAGTTATTCGACCTTCAGTCCCCAAGAGAATAAGCAAACGAGTAACGACAACAAACTGTCATTGCTTAGATGCTGTGTAGTAGCAAATAATTAATTGCATTGATTTTTAATTAACAATTATTGGATGAGGTTTTTGTGATATGCGGAATTATCAAGGTCGAGGTAAGCGTTATCAGCCGAGCCGAAGGCGAGGCTGATAACGCTTACCGAGACCTTGATAATTTTGCATATCGCAAAAACCGAATTCAATAATTGTTTTATTATACATTTGAAGAATAATAAACATAGTATTTTAAATAATAAAACAATTATTGAATTCGGTTTTTGCGATATGCAAAATTATCAAGGTCTCGGTAAGCGTTATATTCAATATGATTTCTGGCAAAGCTGTTCAATTAAAACGTTTCTATAAACAAGTCTCCGGAAGTCCAACAGTTAAATTAATTACAAATATAAAAGAAACATATTATCGTTAAGATGTTAACGTATTAAAATATTTGCTTGTTAAAGTAAACATTACAATTATGAAATGTACATTCATTTGAAAATTGAAATGTACACTCATTTGAAATGTACACTCATTCAATTTCACGCAACCTAACACAAAATTCAGTTATCTGCTAGCAGATAACTGAGTTATCTGCTAGCAGATAACTGAATTTTGTGTAGGTTGCGTGATTGCGCGATTTAACTGTTAGCTCTTAGCCAATCAAATTGCTTTTACCAACTACAATGTATAATAATTTAATTTATTAGGTGAAGGTAGTCACCCAAATCTTGGGTACATCCGTTGATGTTGTTACAGCGAAGTTCCGCAAAATGATGAATGATTTCTTTGACTGCACAAATGTGAAGTCAATGACTAAACATGTCAGTAAAAGAAATCACATTTGTGCAGTCAAAGAAATCATTCACCATTTTGCAGAAATTCGCTGTTGCAAGGACATAGCAACCGATGTACTCAAGACTTGGGTAGCCATGCAACTTCACCTAATAAATAAAAATTCAATGCAGTTAATTATTTGCTATTTACGGTAACGTTGGCGGTCGTTAGGGGAAAGAGAAGTGGTGCAAGGTCAGTGACGAACCAGCACATAAAGGAAAGAAAAAGGAGTGATTATCCATACATTTAAAAAGAAAGTTGATTTGTGTAAGCATTTGAATTTTGAAAAATGGTCTGAGTTTTCCTTTGTCTTTCACAGAAGTAACTACGGTACAGCAACTCCAATTTCATTAAAGAGAAGAAGAAAGCTCATAATGATTTGAATAAACATGATGCTAGCTAATTAACAAATGATTTATCTATTTACTAAGTTTTATCAACCGTATAGAATATATACTGTATAGCACTCCGCATTTTAAAAACTCAAACCATTTCATCACAGAAACTGCAAACAGACTACATATATCTGATACCTTTTTGTACATTATGGCTTACCAGTTAGCACTGCAGAACCTTTTATGTTTGCTTAAACATGGTTCAATCAACCACTGAACAGAGAAAAGTCGTAATCAAAACGTTTTACGGAACAAATAGGGTTGCGTTGCTTTTGGATTAACTTTGCATTATTTATGCATTTTCAATTACTAACGGTGGAAGAATGTGATTTTGACTGGCAATTTTTATTTGAAGAGGATGTGGCCATTTGTCATCGCTACGATTTAAAAAGGCACCATAGGAAAGATATAACAGCTCTTTCGTCCCATGTAAAAATTGAATTGTTTAGCTAAGTTTATGATGCACGACAGCCTGTTGAATTTCCATAGCGTTTTTTAGTCACCCTATAGCATGTATGTGGAATTCGCCAGATTGATTGATTGTGAAAGATTGTTGGAATAAAGAAAATTAGAAAAAGAAAATAAAGTCCCAGTGCTTTATTGACTGAACCAGCGAGGGGAATTTTTTTGCAGTTCTGAACCGAACTTGTGCGAAGAATTTGTAACAGCAAAGCAGAAATTTTGTAGCCGTAGAAGATTGAAAAAAACACAGCAAACAACTTTCACGTGCATAAAAAAGCTGCTCATGGCCAATGTATGAGGCCTAATATGAGGCATAACATGAAGCATAATGATATCATTTTTAGTCAATTTACTTGATTTTGATTGGTTAAAAACTGTCCCGTTTAAATATTAATCGGCACAGTGTTGTTGATCAACAAGCTCACACTCGTTGTAAAGACAATTCGAAAAATAAATAAAACTGTACATGATTTGTACGATAATTTCAACGATTACCCTAATAACGATTCATCGTAATTGACCAACACTGAACACAGTCGCGCATTGTGCCTCAAGTGTTGCCATGGGAACACAATTAATTTATATTTTAAAATTAAAAATAAAATTAGATTTGTTTGTACAAAATGGTAAAAATAGTTTAAATTAAGATTAGTTACTTTTGGTTACTTGTAACTATAGAACAATGAATTTCCGAAATTTATACTGGTCTATACTGTAGAAATACGTCATTTTGCATTTTTGGAGTTTTGACTTAATGTATAAAATTTAATCTGAAGCGCTTCGTAAAATGTTTTGAAATGTTCACTCAACTAAACCGCTTTTGCCGATAGACGGTGTTTAACTTAATAAAACAAAGCAAGTTCAAATTATTCTTGTTTGAAACTATAGTTTGTTCTCTTTTACATTTCCTTGAACTAAATTAGGTAATTTTGCGGGAAACTTGCACCTACATTGAAAAGGAAAGCAATGCATGAATCGCGCAAAAATTAAAGCAACGCACCAAATAAAAAATAAATTAAACATTCAAAGCAAATTAACTCACTCTATATATCACGATTTCCCATCGTATCAATTCTTCTTATTTCTTGAATCCAAAATTGCTTGAAAGCTCATTGTATATGAAATAATTTTCCGAATATTTTGTTTGTGATGTTACTCTAATTAAGTGTATATCCGCACCGGGCAAGCTTGTGACATCACAAACATCACATTCACCTGAGTACATAACACCAACACAAAAAATTTCCGAATATTTGTTTTTGAAAGTTGAAATCTTACTCATCTACTCCAGGAAAACAGCTTCATATTGAGATCAATGAAGAGATTCACTCACGACCCACATGAATCAAAGCCATCAGCCCATCATTGATGAACTGATGCTCAATCCTTTTAGAGGGAGTTCTCTAAGTAGCTGAGAGCGGGATTAGTACTCTCCCTTAGGGGATAATGTTCAGTGATATGAGTAAATAATAGTACGTCGTGTGAAAATTTCGTCAAATGTTTCTTCTAGATATGGTTCTATGACTTTCGGAATTTTTAAAGATTGTGCAAAATCAATGAGTGGGTCAATGAATTGGAAAAAAAAATGGGGCAACAGAATAAAATTTGTTGATGATCTAACTGTAGCAGAAATAGTCCCAAGGAATTCACCGAGTTTATTACATATGGTTGTTGAAGAAGAAATCCATCGATATGCTGTTATGAATCGCATAAAATTGAACCTGGGAAAGTGCAAGAAAACGATAATTAATTTCATGACCTATGATAATATTGCACGCCGTGCCCTGGTTATAAATGGAATAGTTGTTGAACGAGTGAATAGTCATAAACTTGTCGGATTAATTATTAACAATCAGGGGCGTCGTGGGTCCCATGTTTTTTGGGGTTATTTTTGTGTTGTTTTTTGGGTGGGGGGCAAGGGCAGTATTTTTCCAACAAACTCAATGGGAAAAAAATTTTCCGGACCAGTACATTTTTTTGGACTTCGCCAACTCAAAGAAGTAGAAATTAATCATAAAGATCTCGTGGTGGTGTATTGTGCGACTATACGCCCAATCCTTGATCATGAATATGCGTTTCCGGCATGGTCGAACATCCGGTCATCGTTCCATGTTTCGCGCACCAATATATAAGTTAGGATTAGGGGTTAGGTATTAGGGTTAGTTGTTAGGTTTAAGGTTAGGATTAGGGTGTGTATATATGTGTATGGAGATATTCATTTGACTTTTCAGAACACTTTAATATCCATTACATAACGTTTACTATATTGGTGCGCGAAACATGGAACGATTACCGAACATCCGTTATATATACTGTAAGTAACGAACTTGAGCATGTCCAAAGACGGGCATAGCGTATTATTTAGCCAGCGTCAGAATACAATAACTCCTTACGAACTTTAAACCCACTAAAAATATATCAATACAGCAAAACAACCATGTCATCCTTTAAACCATCTACTAGGTGTGGCTGAGTCTTACTCCCACGGTTACAACCTAAGATCGAAAAATTCAAGAGCATTACGTATAGTAACTAAAACAAGACGATGTGAAAACGTCATCCTTTTCCGCCACTAAGTACATTTTTACAACTGTCATTCAAGCAATATCGGTGACTGTGAGTGTGCATGCGAATGTAAATAATATGTAAATATAATTATAGTATATAATTTAAATTTTTACCTTTATAGGCATTTTAATTAAGCTATTTTATCGTGATCTTAATTTATGTATACCCTGTTATTCAAGGGTTTTAATAATAATAACAATAATAATAAAATATATACAATACATATACAATATTATACAAGTGACGAATAGCGGGGACACCGTGCACAACAGTTAAAACCAACTATCGTGGGCACATTTACATGGCAGTTTCACGTGATATACGCGACCACCTCACGCTAAAAGGTTGAGAGAAATGGTTGTTTTCGACATTTAGGCGCGGTCACTAATTCCACAGAATTCAATATCAGAAACGTCAACAACTGAGCACCTATTTATAGAATAATAAGTCGTTAAAATATATATTTTTCGTTTCGTCAAAATTAATACAGTAAATGCTAAATAATTACTAGAATATTGTCTTAAGTAGAGAATTGAAATTCATTTACCTCCACTACAAGATTTACTTATCTTTACGTGTTACTTTGGATGTGATTTAAGCACGTTTCAGTTTATTATCTTCAGGCATAAGATACATGCAGAGTGTCTCAAAGTGCACAGGTAAAGGTAAATGATTTTTACTTTTCAATGTAAGACAATATTCCAGCGATTATTTAGCAATTATTTGACGAATTGAATATTAAATATATATATATATATATATATATATATATATATATATATATATATATATATATATATATATATATATATATATATATATATATATATTCAAACAACTTATCTTTCTATAAATCTTGAATTTCACGGGATAATACAAAACACGGATGAATTAGTCAAGCGTGTCGCCAACTTAGTCGGAGTCGAAATTAATCCGTACGATATATCTATCTCCCATCGTCTGCCATCTAGAAGAGGATCAACTCCACCCATTATTGCAAAATTTACCAAGCGACGTACTAAAGAAATTATTTATCAA